TTCAATCCCTCTGTTCTGAATTGCAACAATTAAAAAAACCAATTCAACTGTTTGGACAACAAATCCTGTATTGTAATGAAGCTATTATGTCTTGAAAGCATTTCCCCATGTGTGATATACAGATTTGTTCATTGTGCTTCTTCAATGAAGTCCTTTCCAGATGGGTAGAATCATTGACTAGAAATAACAGAGGGCTTGACTGAGAAGTACACATTGTTTCATACTGGCAGGTTTTTTTGTTTGTTTTTTGAAATCAATAATTGTTGAGTGAGAGGAGTTCCCATTTCATAAAATATGTGATCTTTAAAAAAATTAAATATACTATATATTATTTTTCTTATGGAAAAAATAATAACAATTGCAGTTGTATGTATTCTGTTTGTATTCTGATTGCAGGCATGTTGTATCCCTTGCAATGTTCTTTCTCTTTTATTTGTTCTCCATTCTTCACTCCCAGGGGACAAAAAAGAGCTGTAAATCATTTCATGTCCCTATACAGAGCAGAATAGAAGGATATAAAACGCCAACAGAATGGAGTGAGGTGGATGTTGCTGCTATGGCAAAAGGCAAAAAATGTGGGTGGAGGAAAGGGCTTTCTTGTGGATAATCCATTTCTCAAATAGGTAGTGAGTGTGGCATGAGTAATCATGGTGTCTACTGAATCTCTCAGTGGAATCCTATTGTTGTGTCCAGGACACCTTTGTGCCTTCAGACATAGGAGACATTCATTGGTGTGAAAAAGTTCGGAAAGCCTGTGAAGAATCACTTACCCAAAAACCCAGCTAAGGCATAAAGTGGAAAGGGCAGGGAGCATCAACAAGTCACCGGGGAGTTTCCTGGCTGGTACTTCAGTGCAATGGCAACTCACAAGCTGGCCTTAGCTATCGTCCTAGCTGCTTCTCTCTGGATGTTTTCCAGTACCTCCCATGATGGAGAGGGTGAGTTTGTCTTGGGGAATCTCCTGAAAGGATCACTCAGTTCTCTGTAATATTTCTGGTCCAGCTCCAAATGTTTGCTCTGTTATAAAGATATTATGAAAATATACTGTTCAGAACATAATTTCAGAGGCATAAAGATCTTGTGAAAATTAGTCTTTTGGAAGAGAGTTTCAATATTCTTTGGCAAAAAATAGTAATTTTACTGATTGTCGAAGGCTTTCATGGCCGGAATCACTGGGTTGTTGTAGGCTTCTTCGGGCTATATGGCCATGTTCTAGAGGCAGTCTCTCTTGACGTTTCGCCTGCATCTATGGCAAACATCCTCAGAGGTAGTGAGGCAAGCATCCTCACTACCTCTGAGGATGCTTACCATAGATGCAGGCGAAACGTCAGGAGAGAATGCCTCTAGAACATGTTCATACAGCCCGAAAAAACCTACAACAATTTTACTGATTCCTTAATTTTTTTCATACAATGTAAGATGTGGAACTGAAAAATAAGGCTTACAAACATTTTTGCATTGATGTCTCTTAGAGTTAGAATTCTAACACTGATTGTCTGCTTCTAGAGCAACTCATATTTAAAATCTTAGAAGCTACTGATCTGAATATGTCTGATTTCTTTATAATATAATGCTATTTTGTTTGTAAAGATATTATCAGACCTCTATGTTCCTTTTAAATAATGTCAAATTACCTTTTCTGAAGGTCTTCTTTATCTTGTAGTCAATATAAAAGTATTATTTTGAACTAGCTATTGTGATTTTTTTAAAAATTAACAAATTCTAGTTTACTGTGTAATAAGAATGGCCAGGGTAAAGGTTGTGTCTATAGGTAATGGATGCTCACAAATTTGATTTCAGTAGGGGTTAGGGTTCATGAATGTAGTTTGGATCCAGGAAAAGATAAATGTTCAAGGGAACTTATGTTGTACTTATATTGTCTGCATGATGATGTTATGCTGAGAAAATCACAACATCTGTTTGGAAAGAGGTACTTTAGCAGAGAATCCTAAGTCCATTTTTTGGGTAACAATGTAGAAAGGAATCAATATCAGTGGGTTTCAGCATCTAAGAGGTTTTCGGTAAAACTGTGATGGTCAAATATGTGTAAATCAATGGATTATAGTATACACAATTGAACTCAGAGTATATCATATGAAAGTATGCAATAGAAAAAAAGTGACAACAAAGAATGAAACCTGAGAGAAACAACTGGAATTGCCACCATGGCAGCATGCTCTTTACCAGTTACCAAAGAGTATTCAAATACATTGGAATAGAAGTGGGCAACATGTAACTTCACTCTAAGGTCCATCATCCTTTGCCAGCATGTCTAGTAGGATGAGATAATTGGTTCAGCCATATTTGGAACGCCAAATATTTCTCTACCCTGGAATTAGAGGATAGTGGTCATATAGCATTAACACTTCCATGGACAAATGAAAAGGAACTCAAGTTGACACATTTCTGTTGCTTCTTATCTTTCTTTTCCTATTGAGACCTTACTATAGGCAGTCCCCAAGTTACAAATAAGATTCTGTAGGTTTGTTCTTAAGTTGAATTTGTTTGTAAATCGGAACAGGTACATTTAAAAGTGTAAATCCAGCCACACACACACATGCATACACACAAAACACACACATACAATACATACATATATATGTGCATTGGATAGCTTAGGGAAGGATTCACACTTTTGTGGTGCTTGTGCCCCTATTCAGAGGATTTCACCTCATTTTCTGTCCCTGTGAGAATTGGATTTTGAAAAATTTGGCTTGTTGTAGAAACAAGGATTGGTGATAAAGCTTCAGTGGAGACACCTTTTCCCCATGATAACTCTTTCAGGGATGGATTTCTCTCCCTAAGGGTAGATTCCTCTCACTTCCTGTTGTCTCACCCCCACTCTTAACTATGAGTCATTTGTAAGTCAGAAATTTGTAATTTGGGGACACTTGAACATCATATTCATACACGATATAGCTGTGGCATCCTACTTAGCCATTATTCTCTGAAAATGTGCTGCACTGAAATGAGATTTTTATATACATTGATCAACCACCAAAAGGAGCAAGCTAACTCATCTTCCTTTTAAATCACCCAAAGGCTAATGATTCTGCCCTGAATTTAATTTATGCTTCTTTCAAGCCAATAACCTCAGTGGCATTTCAAAATGCAATTAATATATAAGGACCTTAAGTGGAACCAGATTCTGTGATGCTTGAGTTAAAAACAATAATCACTCAGTGAAAAGATGTCTGTCTGATGCATGTACAATTTTAGAGCTACTCAATGCCCTATAATTTTTCCATTGCTTCCAAAAAGTAGTTTCTTTTGATAACTACTTGATGAAAAGTCCTACACCTATTTTAAAAGCCATGCTGTCAGAATTAGGATTTCCCAGTAAACTAGCCCAATAGATATCGGTTTTAAGTTCTCTGGCAACTTTAATAGTTGAGAATTGAGCTAAATATGAAGCAATTATTATTATCATAATACATATTGGTCTGCAGTGATACTAGTCTAGTTCAGTCTGATAAAGCCAGTCATTAGAAATCTGTATAATTTGTCATCAGTCTTGACTATGGATAGGCTTTGGACTGGGTCGTTGGTTGCTGCAATTTGGCAATTTTGCAGATACGGCAATTTGGTTGTTAATAATGTTTTTAAATGGATTTTAACCTAATGTTTTACCTATTCTGTAATGTCATGTTGTATTGTGTTTTGGTATGTGTTGACATTGTAAGCCGCCCTAAGTCCCTCCCTCGGGGGTTGAGAAGGACGGGGTACAAATGTTTGAAATAAATGAATAATAAATCATCAGGGTAGCCAGATATTCTGTTTTAATTGCGGACAGTCCTTTAAAAGGTTGTTTAAGGGATAATTTTCTATTTAGATCCCTTATCTATCTATTTCAAGAATTGTTCACTTTAAAGAAAATAACATAATAAGGAATGAGAGCAAGAAAATCCACCAACTGTTAATACCTAGACAGTAGAGTCAAAAAGTGGCACAAAATGTCATCTGGTAAGAGTATTTCCTACTATGATGAGTTGCATTCATGTCAATGGTATTTCTATGTAAACTATACTAATGTAAATTATACCAGTCACCAAACCAATATATGTTGGTGCTGGTGCTTCTGCTTCTTCTTTGGGTTTTTTAAAAAAATATAATGCATTCTTTCTTTCTTGGCCTAAGGTGCATCTATATTGGGCATTAAAGTAAGCTTGAGAACAAAGGAGAAAAGCAATAGGAGGGGATTAAAACTGGATCTTTTAAATAGAGAACAGAAAAAGTTTGACAGCAAAGGATTAATCATGAAAATCCTTGTCAATTTGGGACAGTCGGAGTATCTGTACCAGTAATATGATTTTATGCCTTAGGCCACACTACCTAGTATGCTTTCACTCATAATATTGTTTTATCTCTTTCTTCTCCAAGGAAAGAAAGTTGATACTATTTACATCTGCCAAACAGATACTCTTGGATAAGCAGCAACAGCTGGGATCTCAGGCATTGTAACTGTTGAAAGAATCTTCAGCTCTCTCTTGTGTGTCTCAAGAGCAGTCTTGTCTAATTCTAGATACCATACACAACAGCCATTATACTAGTTTAGCACTTCAGCTGTAGTGAAGAATGCAGATGCCAAATAATGACAGATGTTTTTCCTGTCATTATTTTAGAATTTATAAAAAACTGGAAATGAATATTCTCTTTTCTAGTGCGTATATAATTTGTCCTGACATTTGAACATGATTGATGAGGGTTGCAACTGGAAAATATGATTCCATTGTTGGCAATTGTTGGGTGAACTATCCAGTTAAAAGTACTTCCATCTGATGTAGCTATCAGTCAGAATTAAATCTATCTACTTGTGAATTTTGATTTTTAGCAAATATGACTTTGGTAATAACAACAGGTATGCAGAATCCATCAGCAGTTCAATTTGTTTCATATCAAATAACAGTAATGAATTTATTTTGAAAATGTTTTTCTCTTTAAAAAATGTGTCTTGCATTGACCATTAGACTCCTCTTCCTTTAATAAATAGTAATTTTAATATGCCTATAGAAATCAATGAGACCATCACCTGTACAAAGGACCTGATTGAAGTAGACATCCCAAGTACGTTCTTCCTGTCCAAGAATCCTCCAATACTAGTAAGTTTCTACTTTCATAATTTTAAATAAGTAAACTCCTATTAGAATAAGATAGATGCCCATCAGTGTTTATGGAAACTTGTAAAACAATGTGCAGGAAAATATCTTAAAGAGAGCAAAACCCAGAGCTATCTCAGTGTGGGCTTAGCATTCATAGTAGGTACTGAATGCTAGCTGACTTCAAGGGAACTAAATGGGAGCAGATATGGCTGAAACCTTGCACAGGGGTATTCCATATGGCGGCATTTTATTACAGATCCCATTTCTTTTGGTTTTGAATATTGGATGCTTTTAAGCCTCTTGTTTCAAGTCCATAAATTAGAACACGGGTGAATATAAGAGAGATCTGGGGCAAATGGATAATGATTTCTGACACACATTAGCAGCAGCTGCAAACTACATGATAGCTTTTTCTCATACTTCTGGTTTACTTTCTGAGTTCTCTATGAATTTTTAATAGCAATAGTTACAATCTCCAGCTCCCACTCTTTATTAATGTAAATACAGTGAGCCCATGGTTTCTGTGGGGGGTTTGGCTCCAGATGTACACTCTCCACTGCATGGTTACTGAAATATGTGGATGCTCATGTACCATTATGTACAATGGTATTGTAAAATAAAGTTCCTTAAATAAAATGGCAAAATCAAGATTTGCTTTAGAGATAGATGGATGGACGGACAGACAGACAGACAGACAGATAGACAGACATATATTTTCAAGCTATGGGTGGCTGGATTTGGGGATACAGAAACCATGGATACAAAGGGCTGACTGTACGCCAGTTCAGTTTTCCAGGCTGGCTTTAAACCTCTTGATTCAAATACAGATTCAAAGAGCAGAACTTGGGAAAGTGTGGTTGAATTACTTTCTTATTTGTTGAAGGTACAAAAAGCCCCTCTGAGGGAAAGAAGACATTCATAGCATACAATAATGCCATACTTACTAGAACATGTCCTTTGTGTTATTGGAAATGTGAAAAATCAACACATATACATGCTAATTCCACTGATTCACTGATCCACTGTGTTCTAGTTGAGACTCACAATCAGATTTAGACCAGTGGTTGGAACACTTGGCAATGCTGATCCTACAGTTCTGCAAACTGTTGTTTTAAAAGGAGAGCGTCTTTTGCACTGGATGACAGCAGTTTATAGCATTTAGAAGATCCTTTTTAAAAGGAAATTATTTTAATTATTTTGAAATCTAGAAGAGTACAAAGCCCATCTTTGTTTAAAAAACCCAAAGTGTATTGATTGTGTTTGGAGATCTTGGATCTTTAATTGTAGTTTAATGCTTTTTGAAGGCAATTATCAAAGTCTGCTTTCATATGAAATATCACATGTAATGGCTTGGTCTGTTCAGTTATAAATATGATGATGTTGATCCTTTCATTGAAAAATAAACAATTTGAAAAAGGTGTGGGTTTTTCTTTTTGCAGATTTCCGATTTGCACCTTAATGAACCAGAATGCCAAGGCACTGAAATAGGAAACCTCTATGTGTTCAGCATAAAGATCAACTTCACAGACTGTGGAACACGAATGGTAATATACATGAAAATGTTGTGACTTTGATGTGTTTTCCTAATACACTGCATTTGTTATCCTATGCATTGTTTATTTAGCAGATGCCCTTTGAAGCAGTACAGGGCTCTAGCACAGAGCTTGTCACAACCATGTCTCTCCAGATGTTTTTGGATTGCTGTTCCCATACAGCCTCACCACTGACTATGCTTCCTAGGACAAAATGTAGACCAAAATATCTGAAGGAGCACAGTTACCCACTTTTGCTCTTATCAGTTAAGAAACTAGACCAATCAGCCTCAAACTGAAATTTGAGACAATCTGAAGTTATCCATGCCACTTTGTTACTGTTAGGAATGTAAACAATATTCTCATTCATAAATATTCCCATCTTTGATAACTGACTGGGAAACTGTTAAAATTATTTTCATCTATTTCAAGATTGCTGTGTTCTCCCATGAAAAAGAAAACACCACTTTTGTTTTCAGTGGGTTTTGTATAGAGAGAAAAAAACATTTCTGAGCCAAAACAATATTTGATGTAAGCATATTTTATACAAAAACAAATTGACTTTTGCAATTATGCAAATTAACTTTGCACTAAAGTTCAGAGAAGTAAAAAAAATCATTTTTTAAAAAAGCTGGATAGAACACTCATAAATTAATTCCAGGGGGTGGGCTTTTTAATTTTTTTTGTTCTTCACTAACTAATTTATTTCCTAGAAAACCTGAGACTTACTATGTTGTTGCTTTTGAATGCTTTTCAGGAGTCAGATGGTGCTTATATGATTTTTCTCAACACTATCCAGAACAATTTATCTGACACAATCACAAGAACTTTTGTCAACATTACATTTGCTTGTCGATATCCTATTAATTACATGGTACAACAGCCTAATGATGAAAACAAAATAAGTGTTGATATCAGGTAAGCCCATTCTTATTTTTCTTTCTATTGAAAGTGTTATATAGCTGGCCTAATTTAAGGGACCTGAAAAACACCTAAATCACATTGATGTAATCATTTCACCAAGTAAACTAAAGAATTACATAAGGGATGGGGAGGTGCAGGAATCCTTAGAAGACCTCCAAAAATGACCACCTTGGGATGGATGCAGCTTATAGGATTCACACAGCCCATTCCACCATAAAATCACAATGGCAATTGTATTATTTCTGCAGTTTTGTTGATATAATCTGTGCATCTCTGTGTCCTTGTTCAATAGGTCCATTATATTAAACACTGAAGATGGAAACTTCTCTGTATCCATGATGCTGTACAAAGACCAGCATTTTGAAGACATGTGGACTACTATCCCTTTCCTGAGTCTGGAGGACAACATATTTGTCAGAGTTAAAATGGTATCTGTATGGTATTACCAAGATGGGAATCAAAAGACATCATTGCTAGCAAAGACAAGACAATTTTGTCCTATCAGGCAAAAGACATGATAAGAAAAAAAAAGAAAAAAATGAATGCAGAACATTTTGAGAGTATCTACACTCTCAAACCCCTCCTTAGCCTCACCCAGCTGATCAATCAAACAAAAGTGTTCATTCCATCTGATTTATCCCTATCCAATCAAAACATAGGTTTTTATCTTATGATTCCGCCCTCTATATACTTGCAGCCTTTTAACTCCCTGTCATCAGTGTGTGCACCAGCAAGGATGGCTACCTTCAGTAAACACTACTGGATGTCTGCCAAGGTCATTATGAGTCATCTCTTACTCACACAAGGTGGGGTTAGAAGTGCTGGTTTCCTTATTTACATTCCAATACCATTTTGCATAGTCTGAAGTAACATCACTTTTTGCTAGAAAATATCCAAGAAAGGAGATGTAGCACTACTGCTTTACGCATCAGTCAAACACACACTGTTCTGTAATCTTTAGTTCTAGCCTGTAATACTCATGTAGTGTTACAGGAATGATATACATAGTTGTAACACTGTCTGCAATTAGTATAATGTACAGTGGAATCTCAACTTAAGAGCATTTTGAGTTAAGAGATGTCAGTCAGCCCGGGCTTCACTATTAACATAAGAGCAACATTTTGAGTTAAGTAACAGAGGGAATGCTAGCGCAAGAGAACAGCCTTTGGAGCTTAAGGGAGCAGCCTCTGTGCCTCATAATCTTGACCACTTTGGGAGATTGCTGTCCGCTTTGCTGTTGTCCAATTTGAGGGACTTTGGGTTAGTTGATTTTGTGTGGTTTTTATTCCTGGCATGTTTGACTTCATGAAGAGAGAGCAAAAGAGGGAGGGAGGCTGGAATGAGTATAATATAAGGAAAATGATGTTTCTGCCTCTTTGCTTTGTGCTTCCTTGCCACTATGTTGTGCTTCTACCATGTTAAAGGTTATCTTTCTTTCTCTTTATTATTATTCCATGTGAATGTGCAGGTTTTCCCTTGCTGTTACACTTGCCGCATTTATACATTATTTGTTATAAAGTAAATTTTCTTATTTTAAAACACGTAACAAAAAAAAGGGGGGGGGGTTGTAGGCTGCAATGGATTAATAGCATTTCAATGGGAAAAGTGCTTTGAAATAAGAGCAATTTGAGTTAAGAACTCAGTCACAAAATGAATTAAACTCTTATCTCAAGGTATCATTGTATAAAGTATAAGATATAGCATAATGAAACTAATTTAGAAGTGAGATATATTAAGATTTCTGTGTGCCTGCCTCTAATTTCTTTCTAAGCATTCTCACTCACTTCATTTTTTGTTTTTTGTTTCTGTAATTTTAGTTATTCTAAGAGTGTCTTGGGATTCAAATAATGAAAACATATGCCAACCAAAAGTATGAGATTTTCTAAACTACTGTGTGAAAATTCCATTTGATGTGATGGATAGCAATCTTCATCAGCCATATATATTTGATATCAATGTTATGCATTAATAGCAACATTTACAAATTCCAGTTTATGTCCACTGTTCCTCTGTTTGTCAGGTTCCAGGTAACTTCATCATTAGGCTTGAAAACTGCTGGTCTACCCCAACAAAGGATCCTGTCCATTTTGTTCAATATAATTTTATTACAGACAGGTTGGTGTCCCATCTTCATGAACTGAAAAAGTATTAGTTGAGCTTATATATATATATATATATATATATATATATATATATATATATATATATAGTGGCATTTAAATTATTATATAAAGGATAATTCCCTCTTCCTGCTACCCCCCCTCCCAAATATTATAAAACTACTGAGGGGAGGAACTGTCACATGCAGGCCCGTAGCCAGGATTTTGATTGGGGGGGGGGGGATGAGTCTGAGTGAAAGAGGGTCTACCCTAGCAAACCTTTTGTATTGTTACCCCAATACTCCCATGCATATGGGATATATTGAGTATGGTGACCAGATCATGATATGAATAAACATAACAGTTTAAATAATGCACCAGTAAGGCCTTCTCGTGGACCACCATGAGAATTTGGGGGGGGGGGGGCTTGAGGGGCTTCAGCCCCGGCTACATGCCTGGTCACATGCCAAATGTAAGGTACACTTACATTTCACTTAAGTTAATAATGTGCTTATCTAGGAACAATGTACAACAGTAAACTTCTTTTCCTCTCATGAGAATCCAAATATGAATTTGATATTGTTAAAACAAATAGTTATGTGATTGGCAGTTTAAAATTCCCTCCTGTGGTTAATTACTGAAAGCTTACTGGAATACACAAAGAGATATGATGATAACAAACAAGTCAAAAGTCCTTGGGATTTCTATTTACTGGGATTTTTAAAAGGATCATACAATGCATACAATTATGTCTTGCACCAATGCCCATTGTTTTAATTCCTTCTGTATTTCTGACCAATTCTTTTGATTTAATGTTGTCACAGAATGTTTCTGCACTGTGTTATGCATATATATATATATATATATATATATATATATATATATATATATATATATGACATTACAGTGAGAGTGCTAGGAGGGCATAGGACTTATTACCTATTCATATGAGGAAATTTAGCATCCTAGGATGCTTTCACCCCATCTTCTGGACGGAGCCCCACACTGGCCATCACATGAAGTTGTATGAATTCTGAGGGAGGCCCTACTCCCAACCGGGGCAATAGTATCACCAGAGGCTTTCCCCACAACATGGGAAGCTTCCTGTGCTGTGCTGGTTCCTCTATGATTACAAAAACTTAGTTTTGAAATAGATGTGCCTGACTGAGAATATGGATACTTTGAGAGAAATCTCCCTTCATTGAGTTAATGAAGGGAGATAATGGGGACCCTGGTTATTCTGTAGTAAATCAAATATCAAGTGGGGAGGGGGGGGGAATGTATGAAAACCCGGTGTATTTAGGGCATGCCTAGATGTGGGAATGACCTTTAAGAAGCATATGATCTAGAAACAGATTAGCCTGACATTTCCAGAACCTTTGGCTTGTTTAGATCAGCCCTCATACTCTGATAAACCAACTATTTTGTCATCCATGAATGAACCAGCAGTGTTATATGTTATAAAACATAAGATGAGATTGCAAACCAGTTGTAGACTGTCCCACAAACACCTGTTTTAAAAGTGAATATGCAATCATGTGAGTTTCCACTTATGATCTAAAATGCTACACTTTGAGTCAGGTTTACTATTTCATTTACATAAGAAAGTATGTGTATCATTATGCATCAAGGTACTCCGCAAGTAAAGGACAGCTGATATAGCTCTCCTGGTGTTGCTGGGCTGCACTTCTCATTTTTTTCTCAGCACTCTATGTTGGCAAAGTCCAATGATAGTTACATTCCAACAAAATCTGGAGAGCCATATCATTCCCTGCCATAAAAGACGTAGTCAGAAATGGATAAATATGGTGAAGAAGCTAGCAACCACTGTACTTTGACTAGCTCTTTTCCCTCTTCCCTCACTCAGTCCAATTTAAATGAATCTAGAGATTATTTGGTTCCATAAGGGGTTTTATAAGAGATAATTTCACAATGTTCCTCCATTTGCAGAAGTAATTGTGTTTTCATTATTTGTGTTCCTGTGTAGTTGTCCACAAACTGTAAAAGATGAAACATTGTCAGTAATAAGAAATGGAGAAGGAGAAGAAGCAATGTTTAGGATCCAGATGTTCAAATTTGTTGGCATCTCATACAACCATGTTTTCTTACACTGCACAGTTCAGATTTGTCATAGCATATCTGATACTTGCAAACCGGTAAGTTGATGAATATGAAGCCACATAGTAGTATGCAACTTAGTTATATGTATTTGTTCCCACCCACCCAATTTTCCCTAGCAAAGAATCAGTGGCAAAGAAGAAACCAAATTCTCCTTTTTGCTTAAAGTATTACATACTTGATTTTTTCTTCTCTAGCACTTTAAGGTTGATACCTTGTGTCAAATATTAATTTGTTACTTCATATTCATTAAAATAATGCTACTGTTGTTTTATGCTAGGTTTTCAAGTTTTCTAAGGCATTGAATTTTGGCATGAATATGCTGGAAACTGCTTTGAGTCCCCCCAGGGGTGAGAAAAGCAGTATTAAAATTAAGCAAATAAATAAATAAGCAATTATGATTTTAACATTTATTATTTCAGTACTAACAGCATCACTTTTTAGTAGTATAAGCATTTCATAATGAATTAGTTCATTGTTGTTCTTTAGTGGTTTGAATTATATATATATATATATATATATATATATACTGCAAAAAATAATGAATTTTATAATATGTCCCCATTTTACTTCAGTAATTAATCTTGAATTATGCTAGGATCAACACTGACATTTCTAAAATATTGTCCAAACCTTCTCCTCTAATGATATGTGCTAGATAGACTCATGAAGAGAGAAGAATTAAAGGGGGGGGGGGGAGGTAATCTGAGATAGAAGAGGAAAGAAAAGGAGAAGAACTGTGATTAGAAATGGAGTAAGGAGAGAGGGGGGCAAAGAACTGCTAAAGCCATGTAGGATTTTTAAGGGAATAACTTTAGAAAAAGAGATGACTTAAAGTAGATAATAGATTTGAAAAGGTGAGGTAGCTGAGGGATTTTAGCTTTTTTTTAAAAAAATGTTAAACTTATTTAATAGATGTGCATTTGCTGACAGCCTTAGCATCATGGGTCTCTTTGCATATTCTCCCTAGCCCTTCCTAAGGCATGATGTTCCATAATCTTAAAGTTCCTTATGCTATACCTACAACCTATAGATGTATGGGATAAATTTATTTATCATATCAGAAGTAAACTGAGGGTATCATTGTAATGTATTTAAAAATACAAACAAAGTTTAAAAACTTGGCATTATACTAAATGTCCTTTGACTAGTAGCTGGCCACTTGGAGTACCTCTGGTGTGGCTATAAGAAGGTCCTCCATTGTGCGATAAATGATAAGTGGGAAAGAAAAATAAATTTAAATAGAAGCTAATGCAGTTTTTTACTGACATGAGTGCAGAATTTAACAGAGTGTTCATTCC